GTGAAAATTGAAAGTAAACACGATAAATCAGGGCGTTGGTGAAGTGACGATTCATTTAAAGATTTTTGTTTCGGGCAAAATGAGAGCGGATTAAATTAATGGTTTGCCTCTTTCAAAAGGGCATCCGCTGAAAGTGACACGATTTTGTACAAAAGGATCACTTTCATTTTGTATTTGTTGTTTTGGGATTTTATGGCTTTTCTCTGATTTGATTTCATTTTTTCACCTGATAGAGAAACTTAGAGAAACATCTCAAAAATTTTCTTGTAAAACGTTTAGCATATTTTATTTTTGGCGCTCCATTTAAAAAGAAATTTTTAATTTTATGACTTAGTTAATATTTTGACCGTCATTAAAATATTACACGGATTTAGAAACAAAAACCCAAAATTTGCTGAGAAAAGATAAATGAATTTGAATATTATGATAAATTTCCTTGGTATTAATAATAAAATGATTCTGAGAAAAGCCAAGATATTTTAGATAAATTTTTTATGAAGCAAAAAATTCACGAGACACGCACAAGAACCACAAAAAGTGATTTATTTGTTTTTCCATTGCATTCCGAGATGATTCGAAAATAAATTAGCCACAGCGCAGCGACAAGCGGAGCCGACAGCATAATAAATTAGCCAACTTAATTTGCACCGTGTTCAAACGCTCTTGGTTCGGATGGCGTGAATCGGAATCGCACTCTGGTCATTTATTAAACCTTCGCCCATCTCACGCGTGGAAATTAAAACCAAATCAAAGTGGCCATTAGTGCGTGAATCTGCTCTCCGCGGGCGCAGCTGCTGCGCCGCGAAGGAAAAAAAATCGGCGCTCTAATGAAGCGGCTCTCAAACGAGAAAGAGAAGAAGATGCTGCCCGTACCTGCTCGGTGAGGTCGACGAACTGCTCTTCGAGTGACCGCCGCCGCACCGCAGCCGCGATCTCGTAAATTTATCTCGCTTTTAGACGGATTTCACGTACGGCGGAGAGAGAGAGAGAAAATCGCCACTCATGCAACCAGATGATCCATCTCGGTCTTTTCGCGTAATCTTCGTCCGACAGCCAGATGTCGTGCTGTTGGATTATGTGCGAAAGGCTCTGGTGGAACGCCCGTGAAATTCCCGCAAAGGTCGGCGGTAATGGGCCGTGATTGCCTCAAAGCGAGTATGTAACTCAAGCTTGTGAACTCGCATAGACGTCGGAGGAACGACTTGAGAGGAAAATTGCTGCTGATTTTCAAAGATGATAACACGACAATAATCGAAAGTTGCGTGCAGTCAATTTAGCGAGGCATTTTTTGTTGCAAGATAATTATGTTTGTTGCTCAGGATTTTTGTTAGATTTACCCAATTTTACGTATTAAAATTTTGTCAAAAACATTTCTTTTACAAAGTCTCCTCAATTGATTGCACTGAGGTTTTGAAACATCTATACTTTTGAAGAAATTTCCAGAGCATGAGTAAATTGTTACATCACTTTCAAATAAAAAGTAAAAAAGGGTTGAATATTCCATTGAAATAATTTCAATGTCTATAATTTTTAGGTCAAGAATGTGTCAAATACGTTAATACTCAATAATTATAAAATAAAAACATTCTTCTTTCCATATTCAGTAGAATTCAAGCTGACCATTGCCTCATGACTGATTATTGTGCGCACTTCATTGGCTTTTCGATGTCATTAATAGTAGGACGTGCAGCGGCGTGGATGTCAGTGTCTTGCGTTGTGCAAGTGACAATCCAAGCGCACGCAGGTTACGTGTGAATTTCTTGCGGTTGGCGGAAATTTTAGAGGCACTTTGCGTGAGGGCAAGAAAGAAATATGGGCAGCGGGTACGTACTTGTGGTTGTGTATGATGCAAATTGACACTGACACCGTGCGACGAGCGACATGGACACTTGGAAAAAAATACGTTAGCTTTTGTCACCTTCAAGATCTTTGGTGGAGAATTTAGCAAACGATAAATTGGTGTTATAACAATATAATGTTTTTCTTAAACATAAGCAATTGATTAACTAAATAATAATTCAAGTTGAGTTCCACTGAAAAAATATTGGAAAAATAAATAAATATGGCACAAGAAATCAAATACGATTTGAATAAATTTAAACTTTTACTTAAATTGATTCAATATCGAAACAAATATTTTTGCAATGTTTATGCTTAATTACAAAAATTACATGCCTATTGATAAATAAAAAATAAAATGCTGTTTAAAATCTTTGTCTTTTTGTTCAGAACAATTATATAAATCATAAAAAAAATTGTGCTTGAAATTTCTTCTTTCCAATTTTGGAGTTGGTTGGAAAGATTTAAAGAAGTTTTTTTCTTTCTTGGAAAACCAGCACTAACGCATTCTAATCATTGGAATGCATTCAAATCAGAGAGAGTCCGGAACGATCGATCATCCTTCGACAGAGTGGGTTTGTTTATACTTGGGCGTGGGTGATGCATTCGGATTTATCGCTTTGCCGACACCACGCGCTCTACACTTTTTCACCTCGTAAATCAGAAAAAGTGCGGCGCAATAAATTGAAATAAAATGCACCGCTGGCCTGTAAAGCTCTGGGTGGACCGTCGATTATATTTATTTGTTTCCATCGAGTCGGTGCATCCAAACAAAGCGGCGGACAATCGCGGGCCCCGCCTGCACTCTGCATTTTGCTGAAAGAATGACCAACACGCAAATCATTACAGTCGTTGGATGGATTTGCGTGCATCTCGTGAATAATGCAAATAAAAGCGAGGAACGCCCCGCCGCACGAAACAGCGATAAAAGCGCAAAACTGCGCTCTTGCATCACACTGCAATTCTCGCACGAGAGTATCTCGAGTCCGCCTCTGATTTTGATCGAATAACTGATATCAAAGTGCAAAGTACTCAATTGTAGCAAAATGAACTGATATTAAATAATGGCATTTAAAGTCCAACAATTGTTTCATGTTAATGTTATTCAACACGCTGACTGAAAGAAACGATCAATTTTTTTTTATGGAGTCAACTTTTAATTTTTTTCAGGGGATTTGGTGTAATTAAATAAAATTCTTTTAACAGGTAATTATTTTCATATTCTGATGAGGTATAAAGTATAATATTATTATTTATGATTAACAAAAGTTTACTTTCAAAATCTTGGAGAGAATTTTAAACCCCAAACCCGTTATAGTAAGTGACCAGAAGATCAGAAAAAGTAAAAGTTTAATTTTCACCAACACCAATTACACAAAAATCTGAGGCGGACTTTTGAAAGCCTTCCCTTGTAACAGAATTTTTGTGTGTGAAAAAAATTTCCTTTATACTGCAACCATTTTTCTCTGGTGATGCAACAGAACAAATAGCGCATTTTCCTTTTCTCTCTCTCGCGGCCGATTATTCATATTGTTTCGACAGGGAAATCTGCGTGATTTATAATTTTATTGAAAACGCGATGCAAATAATATCCCCGGCAATGTTCTTTCAGAATGCATTTATTTTATGGTATGAAATGTGTGTAATCGGCCCCTTTCAAGTCCCACGCTCGCAGCCATTGTGTTACATAAGCACTTCTCTTTGTTTTTCTAGCACTTCTCAGCTGAATGGGGACTCGCAAAAAAATCATTCAAATTTCAACAAAGGTCCCATGCATATTTAATAAAGTTATTCAATTTCCACCGCCTTGGCTTTGATTAGCCACCTTTTGAATTCAGGTCAACGCTGAATTAAATATTAATTAAAAATTATTTCGTCGAGTGTCCGAAATGATTTTTAATTTCGGAGCATGGGAATTTCACAGGGCTTAATTAAGAAATTTTATTCTAGCAAATTGTACCTGAAAACTTTTTTATGGTCTATAACAATAAAAAGCGGTACATTCTTGAGAAATAATTTCTTTTGTAACAATTTATTTTGCAAAATTTCTTGTTTCCGTTAATATGTAGGCGTCCTGACAAATTACCTCTCAAGTCGAATCAATTTTTCAAAGTGATTCTAATTTTTAACTCGCGTCGATTTCAAGGTCACTTTGTATATTGTCTGGAGAACAAAACCATTATTATTTTTCTCTCTGTCGAGCATTAAAGAAAAACTTCCTTGCACGCGTTGCGTAAGACTGTTGTATGTTTTTTCCTTCGCGTCGGCGAATAGATAAGATAGGACTGTCGGAGGGGACCATAACAATGAGAGCGTAATTAATGGAGAGAAGGAAGCAAGGTTATAACATTCCACCTGCTGCTGGCTGGGAGACTTTTGATGAACAACTAGGGGGGCGCGTCGGAAAGAGAAAAAAATGAGTGAGCACCTTCGCGGCGGTAATTTTATTCACCCAACTTGGCAGTGATGGGATGAGCTACGACTGTTCCACCGAAACAAAAGCACCGAGAAGTGCAATTAACTTGAGGATACTTGAGCTGGAGAGTTCACGGGATAAGCAAGAGTGCCAAATATGGAAAGCTGCGCAGGTTGTCTGCGTTTTTTATATTTTAATTAAAATTTTGATAATAATTTGGCAAACAAGAAATTATTAAAATTACAAAAATGAAATTTTTTTATTGTTTACTTTACAAAATTGTTTGAATTTTTTTGATGATAATTTGGCAAACAAGAAATTATTAAAATTACAAAAATTAAATTAATCAAGTATTTTATTTTTTATTTTTTTATTGTTTACTTTACAAAATTGTTTGAATTTTTTGGTTTTCTTTATTTTAAATTTTATATAGTAAATTTATCTGTATTTAAAATAAAAATTTTATAATCCTACTTGCATAATACTAGTTGCTTGTTCACTCATTTGCAAGTGATTATATACTTCAAGCAAAATTATTCCATCAGATGAGTATCCTATGAGTGAAATTCAATCTATTGATAGCTAAATAATATATAAATAATCTTAAAGTTAAGCAAAATGAAAAAATATAAATAAATTGTAATAAAATTTGGGCAGAGTTTCATAGGAACGCAGTCAAAAAATATTAGTTTCAATCATGTTTCCCTTGAACTTGTGCTGATATTATGGACTCTCGCACGTAATGGGCACCAGAGTGCAAACGATTAAAATTTCAGATTAAAAATTAGCCGTGCAAATCGCCGGCGTGATGGTCATGCACGCGGGCACCACTGCTTGTATGTGAATAGTTGGAAATATTATTCCGTCAACGCGGCGCGCAGTTTCACGGGTGGCGGGCACGAAAAAGTGATTATTTAGCGGCGGCCGCGACCCCGCCCTTCGACAGATCCGATTCTGCAAGGCTTCAATCACGACTCATCGCCACTACGCATTTTTTTACTTGATTTGGCAGAAAAGAGAGCTAAACACCGCTTTTGCGACGGCGGCACCGCGCAGTTCGTGCGTTCAAATCGCCGTGCAAGGTCAGCCGTTTTGAAGCTAATTATGATATATACAGGCAGGCCAGCAACAATGGAGAGGATCGATGGTGCCAATGCCAAAGGAGACGTGGACAGTAATGACCCGTCATTTCGGGATTTTGGCAGACGAAAGAAGTAAAAGTGAAAAGGTTGGCCTATTTCACCAATTTTCACTTCAAATTTTTTACTTCAACATAATTGTTTTGTCTCTTTTAATTAATTAATACTATTTTATTATCTTCAAAATATGTTAAATTCTTATTTTGAGGATCCTAATTTTGTATTTTTCAGGATTCCTATAGCTCTCTTAAGTCTTATTGGACTTAATATTTTTATTTAAAAATAAAATGAAGTGAATTGAGTCACAATAAAGATTAAAATAAATAGATTATTCAGATACTCAAGTGAGGTTTTAATTTTAACCTTGCCGCACGATCAAAAGCAAATTTTATCTTCGATAAATGCAAAACGTGTCTTAAGATTTAATTTAACTGTCACAAACACAGTTGTCAGATCGTTACTCAACCCTTGCTCTAATTGGTCCGTCCACAAGCTGCACATAAAATGGTAAATTGCAAGTGGAAGTGCTGTCAGGGAAGAGACCTGGCTCTCATTAATAATCAGCAAGAAAATTCCCATCGCGATCTATATTATACATTTCCTGATGGTCTAGATATAAAACGCCGGCATTAATAAATCACAAGACCCGCCGAGAGATGGATTCATTAATAATAATGTGGGCGGTTCGCGAATTCCGAAACAATAGTCGCGCGGCTGGGAACATTCTAATCAGCAGAAAAATCTCCAATCGAACATGACCGTGTACGGCTGCGTGTATAATTTAATGATGCAGCAAATTCTTTTCCAGGGTCCATTATTAAATTCAGTTCAGAGGAAAACAAGGGAAAGTGGCAGGCGCCGCGCGAGTTCAAACAAACAGCCAACTTTTTACACTCTTGTATATTTCTTTTTTATTAGGCTTGGTGTTGGGAAGCAATTTCGCTTTCATTTTGCCATTTTTTGCCCCGTGCCGCGGGTAATTAGCAATAAAATAAATGCACTGCTGACATAATGGGATGCTAATTTGGCCCCGGAACATTTGTAATGATCTTTTTTCCATGTTTTATTAGCGTTAATGATCCTGGGAACTGGGTTGTGACTTTTTGTCTCCAGACGGCAATGTAATTTTTTTGAAACACTTTGTTTCATCAAGTTTAATATTTATATACAAAATTTGGTAATTGTGTTTACTTAAAATAAAAACTGAGCATTGCATGTTTTTTCAATTAACTGCGATTGTGAGTGAAATTTGTAATTTTTAGTTCAAGTACAAAGCATACTAAATTTTCTCAGAGTATGTAACTCCCTTGACAGCTTGGCACTAAAAAATTGCAATTCAGCGTCCAGTTTGTATCTTTTTTTCAAATTGAATTTGCTCGAATAGCCAGTCCAAGCTAATACATAACCAGTCACTTGAGGCGATTTTTGGTCCAAGCTATGGGTACTGCATCTCTTTCGCCCTGGATATTTTGATAAATTATTCATCCAGCAGAGCTGAATTGATTACGATTATACAATCGCAAAAAAGCACAAGATATTGATTTATCGCCGCCTCTCTTGATTCCATTATAATCTTAGCTGCAAGGCTAACAGCTGCTGAGGGCAGCGAAAAAAATTCTTCAACTAAAGTCTTTCTGTGTGGTCATTTGAAAAGCTATAGGAAGAATAATTTTTATTATTTATAAGTTTTCCTTTAAATTTTTCATACAAAAACATAAGCATATAAAAAAAATCATTTCAAATTAAACCCAGGAATTGTAATTTAATCTTTCATTTTATATCAAGCAAATAGTAAACGGCGGATCAAGTAACATATAATCTTTATATCTTTTTTTTGTACTCTGATGTTTTCAATTAAGATTATACTAAGCGCTCGCCGATCGATTTGTGCACATCATAATTTCAATTATTATATTGCATGTCGTTGAAAACATCCTCTTGACCTTCAGCAGCAGAGGACTCACGCAGAGTGAAACATTCGAGAAAGATAAATGCATTATGATGCGATAATGGCGAGCAGGGGATTCTACCAGAGCACGTACGTATTTTGCTATGCAACGATGATGATAATATTCTGCAATTACGTACCCTCATTGCAGCGCAGGGCAATCGTCGACCTGCGGCTCGTGGTGCTTGACCTCCTCTCGCCTGCTCGCAATCATCATCTTTTTCATCGGAAAATCTTGTACGAGTGTTTATTTATAAATTTACAACCAGCAATCAACACGTCCTTGCAACAAAGCAGTTCAAAATATAAACCGGATCGATTGATAGCAATTTTTGTTTTTATTCTTTCTTGGTATGAATGTTTTCCTCTGGATATAATTTTAAAAAGTTTAATGGTCTGGTCAAAGCTGTAAAACTTTTACCAGAAATTTTTGTGTGTAATTTTGTCTCAATGTAAAAATTATCTATTTGTGACAACAAATCGAGGTATTTCTTTTTCAGAATAAGAAATTTCATCAATAAATTTTCCAACTTGTAGGCTGGTTACCAGGAAACAAGTCCTTGTCACCTGAATATTATATTATAGACGATAAAATGATCCTTTTAAAGAGTCTGCTGTTGGTCTACTTGAATAAATAAAGAAATAAACTAGGGCGGAATAGTGGAAACGCCCAGATGATAAATTTGCCTTTGCCAAATGAGCCGAATTTGCACGCCTATTAGTCCGCTCGCAACAAGCACTCAATTTTCAGTCGAAAAAGAAAATAACCACCGAATATTGGATTGTTAAATTCGATTAACATTCTGATCAGCAGGTTTGTTTTGAATGTTTTGGAATACGAAGGCGCCGACTCCCAAGCATGCCTGGCAGTCAAAACAGACAAAAAAAAAAAATAGCGAGAAGGACGTGAGAGGCAAGAGCAGAGTGGCATTAATCACGAAATCGTGGGATATATCACGCAGCGGCAACAATAAACTTTTTATCATTTCCGTCCTGGAAGCGTTTCTCGCGCGTTGGTGATCAGCGGCGCCGTATTTGGGAATGGCGCAGTCAAAATCTCATTCGTTCGCAGCACATCAACCTTTCTTTGATTATTATTCCGGGGCCGCTCTTCCTCCCACTAATAGAAAATTCGCAGGATGTAGAGAATCATCTCTCGGTGGCCATAAAGTTTGGCTGCGGCAAAACTGCATAAAAATCGAATTGTCTTGTTTATAGATTCGTCTTCCGATTTCGGCTTTGGAATGTTTAGAAAGTTTCGAGCAGAATCATGAATGGCAGAACTGGATTGAAATTTTTCATCAATCCAATTATCGCGGACAAACACGCATTGTTCTACATCACTTTTGACTGAAATGAGTTTTATGACAGATTCAAATACCGTGAAAATAATTTAAAAATTTTCAACATCACTCACAAAACGTGACATATCAATGATTAAATGACGCGACAAATGTAATGAATTAATAATTCTTGCGTGACTTTTAGATTGCGATGTTGAATTTTTTTTTATTCTTGATTTAAATTGATCATTTTCTTGTAATTTCTAGCCCACCGATTTTGACCCATGCTAATCAGCGCCTTTCACTTCGGCAGATGCGAGTTTCCATAATTCGATCCCTTCACGAGTTTTCTAACAAAATGCAAATTATTCACGCCAGCGAAAAATCCACTCTGAGGGCGAGCAGACTGATCATTAAATCGGTTGGCCAACAACTGCTTAATCGCGAGCCGATCGAGCGTATTATGGATCTCTGACGTGCTCAATGCGTGCGTTTGATTTAATTCACGGCCAATACTGCGAGCCCTGTAATTACCAGAGATGCGATTAAACCATCCATCACCAGAAAATGTTTGGCTCGATTTCGGACAAGCTCTTATCAGGCGAAAAGAGCAATTTCGGCGGCGATTCGCTTACTTAGCGCAGAGATGGAAACTGGAGATCCTGCTGGGCCCGAAATTTGGAAGAGAAATTCCAATTTTCGCTGGGTGATGAAAAATATTTTCCCTGGTGCAGAGTCATTTATTTTTCTAATCTGCCCGCTGCGAGCAATACCGCTCGCGTTTTGTTCTCCGCAATCCTCTCTCTTTAATTCTGCTGATTCAGTGTCACTCGATTAATTTTTTTCGCACTCTCTCAAAACAGTTAGAGAGGCTGAGATTGGGTTGCAAATCTTTCAAATCTCATCAACGAAAATAGCCGTCATTAAGAAGAAACAGAAATGAGAAGCTGGTTTTTGTGTTTTTCAATCGGCTGAAAATTAATTGCAGAGAGCTGCTGGCGAGATCTAGGAATTTCTTTTCAGAATTAGAAAAAGGAAACTCCCACAGCGCATCATGAAACTTGCGAAACATATTTATAATAAGACGTGCGAGGCTGCAGCTCTTTGCTGGAGATTGAGAGAATTTGCGTGTGCTTTTGGCAATAATTGCTGGCTCACGTTCTATCAGCACTAATGGCGGATAATCAGCGTGCGTGCTGCAGATTTCATTTCGCTCAATAAAATGCAAATCGAGTCCTTAGCTTACAAAGAAAACTTCCATCTTGAGATGTTGAGCAACAAGGATTTTTTATTTTTCCATCAATATCTTCTATCGCATAAAGTTCTTGTTGGTGTAATTTTTTAAGTATTATTATTTCTGTCATGAAGTTAAAATTGCACACATGTTTCGACCCTTTTCACAAGCATGACATTCAATAATTCTTAAAAGAAGTCTTTTAGTGCTCACTGAGTCATAAGAATTGAAGAGAACAAGAATGTGCAATTGAGAAATTGGGATCTTTTATGATTTTCCTAATGCCCGATTTCTCTTCGCCACGGATTCTATGTTCATGATACGGGGGTATTTTCCGGATTTGCACGTTTCTAAGAATATGACTATCTGAAAAGGAATGTTACTTTCAACAAACCATTGCCATTTTTCATACTTGTTTGAACATCTAAATTGGTCATGAGTTTTGTTTTTATAATTTTAATTAAAATAATTTTTCATCTCCATCGTCTGACATTGGCTTTGCCCTTTGCAAATGGAAAACAACCATTGGAAATTGACAAATACGCGAAAGTTTCCATCTTCATCTCTATTTATCATTTGTTTGCGTGTAACCGTGTCCCTGTGTGTGGTTTTCGATGTATCTTTCCTACCTTTGCGGTGTCATGTCGCCAAAGGTCGGCCAGGCTGGAGGACATCTCGCTGGCTCGACTGCCGCGTCGCATCTGCACACCGTCGGCACCGTGTGGTTCTGGAGCCATGTCGCTCCAAAACGAGCTCCTGAAAACAGAAAAAAAGAGGCAAAATTGAGAAAAAAATCTCTTATCTAGGAAAAAGAAATTCCGATTTCCATCGCACGGTCATAAAAGTTCAGAACAGCAATTTTAATGTGCTTGTTTTTAAAGAAAGAATTCGGAGAGATGAGGCTGCGGAGATAATTTTTCAGCGGCTAGTTATAAAATTTATTAATCTTTGTCCAGCTTGATGAAAAAGAAGGCGGTGAAATCTTGATCGTCAATATATTTCAGCGAAAGGAAGGAAATATAAAAATAAAAACTTGAGAGGAGAAATTTCTAATCATATGCATATTAAATACGATAATCGATCAGTTAAAAATATCGCAGGAACAACAATTAACCGAGATTGATTTATATCTCAATTGGAAAGAACTCAAGGCTGTGAAAAGCAATCCAGCGTGGGTTTTATATGTGAAAAGTATGGACAGGTGCTAATTGAAGGGTCTGCTGTGGATGTAGAAAAGTTTGCAGCGCCGCTGACAGGAATAAATAATCATTATTCCGCAAAGTAGAACTGATTTACTTTATTATTTGCGTAATTATAATTTTATCTCTTTGAAAAGTGCATGTAAGCGGCGTGGAATGAGTTCAGAAGCACGTTTTTCTTAAACGGGGGATTTAAGTAGTGCTACCATTTTTTTTACTTTGGCCTCAACAGTGCAAAACGCGTTATCTTGAAAGCGGCTGGATATCTATGGGAATCTCCCAAGCCAGCAGGGCATTTTGCTCATTGTTCCCGACGCGGTTGCGGCACAATTACAAAAATAAAACACGCGTGAACGATCAGATTGCGAAAGAGTTGATTGACATCGAGCTTGCACAAAACAGCCGATGACAAACCGCTTTTGTGCCAGACTTTCTTTTCCAATCAAACGCGCAGTCTGTTTTATTTCAGGATTCGCCCACTTTGAATTTCGGACGAGAGAGGAAAGAAAGGATTAAAAAAAAAATGTACTCTACAAACTTGTTTCTGAGATGCGCAGTGGATTTTTGGCGAGGTCAGATTAGCATAAGAGGACAGAGCAACTTTTTTCGCGAGCATTAGTTAGATCCCTATTAGATGACGGGTAGTTGATTGAGACCGTTACATTCGGCAAATTCTTATCCTCTCTTTGATATTTTAGGCGAGGATTAAATAAATCTGGGTCTATTAATAGTATGGTTAAAAACCCATGAAAACTTCAAAGGAGACAGGTAGGATTCGTTGACCCTGCCAATTATTTTTGACGAATTTTATTATTTTCTCATATTTATCTGGATTAATTTTTAAATGTAGAGAAGAGGAAATTTTTTTAAGCTTTTCTAATTACATTAAGTCTTAATCCCTCCATTTTATAAAAGACAATTATTTTTTATATCAAAGGAGGAAAAAATTTGTGTCCGGATTGGTTTTTTCTCACTACAGAAATCACTTTAGCGTTTTCTTTTTCAGTGTCAGCAAGATTGCCTGTCAAGGAAGTACAGCACAAATTAGGTGAGACTGACAGAAGCTAAAAAGCTGAAGTGCGGTCTAAAATTATTATCGGCGTAAATTGCGCACCGGGAGCTGCACACGAGCGCGAGAGAACTTTTGCGAGCAATCCAAACGGTGGTTGCGTTTCAGGTCCCGTTACATTCCCATCTCACTCGGTGAGTGTCCAGTCGGCAAAACAAGCCAACGTGCATCCGATTTGCTCGGAAAAGAGATAAAATTTTGCCCGTCGAACAAGAGAATTCAGTGCAAGTGACGAGGAGAGAAAAATGCCCACGATGCACTTTTCACGCGTTTAATGAACCCGCCGGGAATGCGCCTTCAACACGCACCTGCACGCGAGCTAGACGTCTCCGTTTTTTGTCCCAGCGCAGGTCGTGTGGATGTGTGAGAAAGAGGGGGATAAACGTAGTTAGGCGCTCGAAGGAAGCGATCCAGTTAGAATGAGATGTTTGTTTCTCGAAAATGCAAACATATGAGAGGAAAAGGGCCATTACCTTGAATTACAACGCGGCCTGAGAACTGTGATTTTTATCTCCAGGTTGTGCGTAACACCAGGAGATGGTTTTTTTTTCTTTTTAAATCACTGAAGTGTTTTTAGCTTTTAATTGATTGATGTTTAAGGAAGCGTTTAATGTGTGTAAATTTGAATAATTTTAATAAAAAAAAAATTAATACAAAAAACAACGGACGTTTTTTTTCATCTCAAAGCAATATAAAATGGATTTTAAAATACCTATATATATATCAATAAGCATATATTTTTAATCTTCATTTGAACGAACATGTCATGTATATAAATATTAAATTTATTTCTAATTTCCCAAGATTTTTAAGCTACTGTTTTTTTTTAATTCCTTTATTAAATTTAATGTGGTGTGCAGTGAGATGACATCTTGACACTGGAAAAATACGCACACAAATCAATCGAACGGATCTATCGCTTGTCAAGGCGGAAAACGACACTGCATCGCGGGTCAAGTTCAGTCACTTTCCTTGCCATCTTTCTGAAATTTCATATCTTAACAATCGGAAGCTTTCACTGCTGCTGCCGTTTTGAAAATCGAAATGTGTCTCGGGGAAATGGAATGAGAATCGCCGCGAGAGAAAAGAGCAAATAAATGCGTGCGCCGTTAATTAACAGGCCCTGTTTCGCTGCAGTTTAGAATTTTGGAAGATTTTACGGTGTTTGCACGACCTGCCGATGAGAGAGTTTGACCCGTGAATAATCACCCAGAGTTTTTCCTCAATTTTATTTACTTTTTAAATACGTCCGCGTATATTTCTGCTATTTTGGTAAACGATTGTTAACTGCGCGTGATTTTAATTGAATAACTGCTGTGGCCTCTTTCCTTTCAACATTGAATCGTCTTTCGCTCTTTTGTTGCACCATCTGTTAACTGCGATTATTCATTTGTCACTTTGCACGTCAGACCTACACAGCTTGCGGTCGATTTGTCTTGCAAAAATGCTTTGCAGAGAGAATGACGACAATAATTCATCGTATTGGCATGGAAAGAAAAAATCGTGACACGCTAAGGAAGCCAAAATGCAAAGTGTATTTAAATTTCAAAACTGAGTGATGAAAAATTCATTGAGTGGAATTGGATTCCTTATTTCTCAGTCTGCAGCTCCGTGCATGGGTTTTAAATTGAAATGGGAGAGCCTTGGTGCCGTTATTGAGCAACAATTCCAAATTTATTTCTTAACAAAATTAATAATACAGGCAGTCTGCTGCAACCAAATGAACGATTCAATTTTGTACTTAATCTGCAATTAAACGTGTTTTTCTCAGCAGAGTATTCCACCGAAATTATCACCTGTCAAAAGGTCACTTTCGGCTGTATTTCTCCCAAGGGGCATTGATAATTAAGCGAGCACTTTATTGCTCCGAGTGCTAATAATTCATAAAACCAAGGCTCAATTTCAGCCACAGTGACGTGCGCGTTTGATGGTGGAACGGTTCATGTTAATCAACTTCGACAAATTGCGTGATCATGTGAGTTTTTCATATTGAAATTTTCACGTCAATGCTTAAAAACACGAAAATTATGAAAAATTGCAATTAATGAATAAAATAAAACGTGAACAGTTAAATATGTGGATCATAAATTAAATATTTACAAAACGTTTACTTTGAATAATCTAAAATGAAACTATTTATCTACCTTAGCTATTTTGTGTGCGTTTAAAAAAATTTTTTTAAAAATAAAAATTATCCAGAATATTTAAATTGTTTCCAGGAAAGAGTTTGATTTTTTTTGTGATTATTCCCAAACTAAATAACCTCGAATTGACCAAAGAGATTATGTGAAGCAAAAAATCAAACATATAAAAACAAATTTTTACTACCTCTCGTGCATGCAAGTACGCTTACAATTAGTTAAAAGTAAATATCATTACATACATAACCCAATTAGCAGCGAGTTTTTTCTCTCAGTCGTTAAAATCCACTCTTAGCACCGCAGTGATATTTTTATTATTCTGAAAAGAGACCGCAGTCCGTGCGACAGAAAACTCGAACTGGATCCAATTCATCTGGGCTGCGCCGCTCGCCGACGATTTTCTTAATAATATCTGTGGCTAACTGTTCATTCAGCATAATATTTTACAACAACCTCGCTCTCCGCAGCTCCTCGCCAAGCGAGTGAACGACCATCCACACACATGAAGATTAGCTTCGTTTGTGTAAAACGGCGCATCGCACACAATTCTGGAGGTATTTCCTCTAGGATATTATCTGCGCGAACAGATTGTTCTGTGCGCAAGAAAACAGACTTTTGTGAATTCACCGCAGGTTGTTTTGCCTTCAAACCACATGTATTTTTAATAAGTTATTTTTAGCTCTCGGTACAGCAGGCACTCATTGTCAGATTGGATCTCTGTTTAATAAGGCAGAACCTTGTTATAATAATAATAGCAATCATGAATGGACAACTTTTCTTGTGGCATTTCATGGGAAATTAGGAAAAATTAACTTACGAAGACAAATTTAGAGTGCATTTTTCATATCATTCAATAGCTAACAAATATCAAAAATTTAAAAATCAATACTTAAACTTATGATAGATTTTTTTTATTCTATGTCTACGTTAAAATTATAAATTAATATATTTTCCCCTGAAATTACATAACAAAAAAATATAATAAAATAAATTAATGCAAATGTCAATTAAGAATTAATATACACTTCCTCATTATAGATTCAGCAAAATTCTTAGTTTTTTTTAGCTTTTTTTAATTAAACCTCCATTTATAGAAAAACCTTTAATTAAAATGGAAGTTATGTAAGCCCGTAATTAAAATCGACAAGCAAATGCTGCACTGCAGACGCCGGCCGCGGCAATTTGTTTCGAAAAACAAACTTGACAGATTAATTAGCCGTTTTGATTCTGAAGTGGCAGGAGTTTGCTCTTGTGCACACGTAAGCGAGGTGATTCTGCATCTGACGAGAGAAACAACACCTAAAAATGAACCGCCGCAACCTTTAGCGCGCGTGCAGTCTCACGTTT